TCTTCGTCTATTGATCACTTCAATAATTCCATATGCTCACCATAATTCTATATTCTATCTTCTTATTTTCTCCATAATTCTATTTGCTCACCCACCATGCCTTCCCTCCTTCTCTTCCTCCCGTATCCAGATCAATGCAAGGGGCCAGCTGCGATTGAGTCACAAGGCTGTGCTTTTAGAGGAAGGCAGGGAGCCTGTCCCCACTAGTACCACATCCGCTACAAGCACATCAACCCCTAATGGATCGGCCGGCGAAAATAGAAATGTGGGGGGAGCTGGGAAAGGTGGGTATGCCCCTCCTAAGTTTGTGAAGCCAAGCGCTCCCTCATCCCCATCGCCCTTGGTGCCCAAGCAAAGGGGAAGGTGAAAAACGGATAACTAGTAGGAGGTAGAGGAAACATAGAGTTTATGCCATAATTTTTGCACACCTTCTGAATGTACTGACCAAGGAAAGGGAAGCCTGTGTGCACTCCATTATGTTTAGCTTGATTGCATGCGGCAGACAAACACGTATGAAAGCTGGAAAACTTGATGCATACATTGGACACCTTGCTTAGGCGATTTTTTTAATAGCCCAACTAATGTGAACATCAACAATGTTTCATGTGCGTTGTCATGGGAATGGGAACAGTTTCCTGATTGCGTATGTTCGCAACTCTATGGTAACAACAGAACAATGGTGCCTGTAACGAGGATGATAGGAATCTCTCCAACACAGCCGCACCCAAAACCCCACTCTCCTCCTAGTCACCCTCCATTGTCATTTTCTCCTCCCCTTTCATAAGCGTATTTCCGTCCACAAGCTTACTCCTGTTTTCGGAGTTCTGTTCTTGGAGTGCTCGCTGAATCTGCGTGCAGTCTCCGCGCCAGAGCGATGGGTCGTCTCCGGCGACATCTCCCCTCTGTCCTGTCTTCAAGTGATTGATTACCTGGTCTCAAGCGAAGATCTGTGCGAAGATGTTCCCATCTGCTGGGTGTGCAATGCGCGGCGTCATGTAATCCTGCTTGACTGGCTTTTGCAATGCAATGGCGGGAGAGTTTTCTTCCAGTCGCGAGAAAGTAAGCCAACTGTGAGTAGCCACTTTACTCCCTTCCCTGGTTACCGATCTTCACCGCTATTGCTACCCCTTTTTCTTCGGACATTATTTGGTGAAGTTTTCCGTTTTTTTCCGGTTTCCGGGGCCGTTGATGAACGCTAGTGGAATTACCGTCTGACATCAGTAGCTTGCTACTTCTGAAGAGAAACAGCGGCTTTTACTGAGGTCCCGATTGAGCCAGGATCTACATTTTCCTTCTATTTTCGCAATCTCTGGGAGCATTGATGATTTCCAAACCAGTTTAAACGCCAGTTCTGCTTCTGAATTCTTTTGATGTCCACTGGTTATATTCTCTGAGCTCTCTTGCACATTCCCCTAGTTTTAAGTCCGTGTCGATCTGGTACATCAGCTGTGTCTGTTATTAATTTCAACTGCAATTTTCCCGGTGATCCATCTGTGGCTTGCTGTGCAGTGATGCACAAACTTTAGGTTGCTGATCATCGTTGATGTTATTTAACCTTCCTCTGTCCCTGAGCATTCAAGCCACTTTTTCTCTTTCTCTCTCTCTCCGATTTCTGATCGTGTTTTTTTCTCGGAGTATTCGCGTTGTGCTTGATAAATGTCCGATGTGTCGGCTATGATGTGACCTTATCCGCGCTGCCGATCCCTTTCGAGGGAACTGTGACGATTGGACAAAACGGTTGAATCTCTTGATCTGAGCCGCATGACTCAGCGGTCGCTACTGTTTTCTTTTTTTCGTTTATTGCATTAGACTTACCCTCCGTTCAGCAGAACGACATGTGCGATCTTGTCGCATGGAACGATTTGGAATGGAGGCTATCATGCAGATAGTCCTACTCCGGGATCGCGCAATGCTTCCAGTTTGCAGCAGATCTCGAATGGGCTACCAACAATTATCCTTTCAAGCGGCCAGATCCTCACTGCTATAGTATCGTCTTGAATTTCTATTACTAACAACCTTCAATGTTCTTTTCTGTGTTCTAGGTCTAGTGGTGCTGGCCAAATTGGAATTCCAAAACTTGGAAACAGAATTCGCTGATTCTCTTCTCGGCCTGAGCCATCTTCGCTCTTCGTGAGCCTTCAAGCAGCCATTCTGGTACGTGTTGGTCGTTTCGTGAATTAATTCATTTGTCAAGAATTACAATATGACATTCAAAGCTGGCCAGTGATGTGACGAGACGTCGCTATCCTGACATGCCTCGTGCATGCTGTGATGACAAATACTCTCACCTGACAATGTCTGAGGCCAGCTTATATCTTGCTGTCATTGTTCACATATTCTTCCCCTCTTGGTCGTATCTAAACCAACGGAATTTTTTTTTTTTTTGTCCTGCAGGTGCCATTTTCCGTCGGCCTGATTTGTTTCGGGATGCCTCAACAAATGTGAATTGCCTCCTAGATAGTAACGAAAGATTTGATGTTATGGCATGTTTGCATTTGCTATATTCATGGTTTTGACTGAAATGTTCCATCATGTTGCTTCAAATTATTCCAGAATCCTTACCTGTTTGCTCTATTCTCTTGCGAGCGTATGTTTAGGGTCTGTGGGACAAGCTTCACGAAACACTCACCCTAACACTGCTAGTATATACTACTCACAAGGCAGAGCAACAGCCTTACATCAGAAACGAAAGCAGAAGCAACAAGGAGTCTCACGTCCTTTCACCACCATATCCGAAGACGTGGCAAATGGTGAAAGGGATAATCCCCACACTTCCAACCAACACTAAATACTACCCCACTGCTGCTGCAGCCACAGCACTACACCATCTTTTTGTCCTAATACCTGGAACCTTGCTGCTACTGCACAACAAGCTCAGCAGGGAGCAGTACAGACAATGTTTCTCCAATACAACCTGCTTTTGAGGCACCTCAAAAGTCAACAAGTTCAGCAGGTAGCTGAGGCAGTACAGTCAATGTTCCTCCAATGTGAACTGCTGCCTGCTGTAGCACAGCTGCCCATCTTACCCCTAGCATTCCTCCCCTCACTGCTGCTCCTGTGAAAACCCTCCAGCATTCCCCCTTCACTGCAGCTCCAGCAAAAACGCTCCAGCATTCCCGTACCACAGTTGCTCCTGTAGAAACTGTTCAGCATTCCCGCACTGTTGCTCCTGCAAAAAATCCCCCCTCACTGTTCCTCTTGCAAAAGCCTTTCACCATCCCTCCCTTGCTGCTGCTCCTGCAATAAGCCCTCTATCCTTCTGTTTTCCCTTCTGCTCTACAAAGAGAGACATCAGGCACTCATCCTTTTCACTGCTGCTCTGAAAAAAAAAAAAATGATTTCCCTCACTGTTGCTCTGGAAAGAGACTCAGCACCTGGCGTGCCGGCGACGGCGCCCTTCCTGCTGCCACCCCTCCTCCTCCTGCCGAACCTGCCGCTGCAGCAGCAGCAGCGGCCGCCGCAGCTGCCATTGCTGCAGCCGCACCTCCCATATCCCCTCCCATCGCCCCCCCCAACCCAGCAGCCGGAAAATCCCGGCCAAAAATATCCCTGGCGTGACTCATCGGCCCGAATCTACTGCCACTACCCGCATTCCCCAACCCCCCTGCTGACATCCCCAGACTCCCCATCCCCCCCTGCCCTGCTCCCCCACCCCCCAGACTCCCCATTCCCCGTGGTACCGCTCCCCCAGCCCCCAGACCCGCCATCCCCCCTGGTCCCACTCCCCCGGCCCTAAGCTACCCATTCCCCCCGAAGCTGCGGAGAGCAAGGAATTAAATTGGGACGGGGCAAAAGGGAGGGATGGTGACCTTTGCTGCTGTGCTGCTGCCGCAGCTGCTGCGGCTGCCGCCGCCGCGGCTGCTGCTGCTGCTCCTGGTGGCTGGTTCAACCCTCCTCCCATTCCCCCAACATGCCCTCCACTTAATCCTCCCCCATGTCCGCCCCCCAGTCCCCCAGAATGCATTCCCCCAAGCCCTCCTCCCCCGTGTACCCCCCCACCAGTAGCTCCCCCCAACCCCCCTCCAGCATGATTATTCTGCCCGTGACTATTCTGAAGGTCGTAAAACGCAGCAGCTGCCGCATACGCACTCAGCGCTCGCCCCAGAATCGGGTCTGCAGCAGCCGCTGCAGCCGCAGCAGCAGCACCCAGCGGGTTCCCCACAGGGTTATGAGCAGCGGCAAGGTATTGCGCAGCAGCCGCCTGCTGCTGCTGCTGCTGCTGTTGCTGTTGCTGCTGCTGCTGGGGATTCGAAAGAGAAGAAGCTAGCTGGGAAGAGAGCAGGGGGTTGGAACCCCCTCCGGCTGCAGCAGCAGCAGCGGCGGCGGCAGCAGCAGCAGCAGCAGCAGCCGCGGAGAAATGAGGCGAGGAGAGGAGAGGATCATCTGGATGGAGTGACGGGGGAAGAGAGGAGAGCCCTGCTGCTCCTAACGCGGATAGGGCTCCCCTGAGGTTCCCCATAGGGTTTCCCCCTGCTGCTGCGGCGGCGGCAGCGGCGGCCGCGAGGGGGTTGAGAGGGGGAGGAGCGGCGGGGGGAGGAGGCGCGGATGGGGGGAAGAAGGGCTGGGGCGGGCTGTTGAGGCTGGTGGGGAGGGGCGTGGAGGAGAAGAGTGGGTCTCCCCCTGATGGGTCGTCCCCAGAATGGCCCTGCGAAGGTAGAGACGAGAGTGATGAGGAAGATTCAATGGGAGAGATGAGAGGCGGAGGAAAATAATAAAACAGACAATGCTGTTGTCCCTCTTTCCCTCACCGTGCCTTCATCTCTCTTTATCCCGTCCATACTTTCTTGGAGTTGAGTCAACATATCACATCGAACTAGCCACACCACCTGGTCCTCCTGCTTCACACCGAATTCGCCCAAGATTTTCCTTCTAGCAATCCCTCCCCTAGTGCCTCTTGATCCATCTCCCTCTCTCACTATCCATCTCTTTCTATCTCCCTCCATCTCTCTCCCATCTCTTTCCACCTCTCTCCATCACTCTCCATCCCTCCCCATCACTCTCTATCTCATCCCATATCTCTCCATCTCTCTACATCTCACCTGCATCCGCTTAAGGTAGAGCCGATACTTCTGCAGATGTGATGCCACATTCTCCCTGCATGAGTACCAGCCGGGGGAGAAGCGGGTGGGGACATGTGCAGAGGGACGGGAATGAAAAAGGCGTGTTTATAGTCAACTTAGAAATCACCACAGAGCCGACTTTTGAGTCGACTCAAAAGTCACCACGAGTTTCTAGTCAACTTAGAAATCACCACAGAGCCAATACTTTTGCAAATGTAAAAAACCATTCTCCCTGCATGAGTATCAGCCGGGGGGAGAGAGAGGGGGGTGAGGGGAGGAGGGAGGGGAGGGAGGGGAAGTGTTGATGGGGACGGAGGTGAGGGAGGTTAATGCAAAGAGGGATAGAAAATCCAAAGAGAAAACGAATGCTTAGATAAGTAACAACAAGAAAACGAAGAAAACAAGTCTTGACTGCAGTGTGAAGTTCGTACGAAGAAAACGAAGTATATGTTATTCCACCCCCATCCACACCCACATCCGCACCCGCACCCGCAACCGCACCTGCACCCGCACCCACACCCACACAGCCCACACTCACAGCCCAAACTTACCTTGTCAACCCCTCCACGTTCATCAACTGCATGATGGTTTGGGAACGGCGTTCGTGATGCCCAGATGCGAGATGGAGATGGATGGAAAACGCAACTCTGTCAGCCCGTAGCACAAATCCCTACCTGACAACCCCCCACTCACCCCGTCAGCCCCCACACACCTGGTCAGCCCTTCAACGTTCATCAACTGCATGATGGTTTTGGGAACGGCGTTCTTGATGCCCAGATGCGACACCGCGTCCACAAACCGCTTGTGCAGCTGGGGAAGCGGGAGTGACAAACGCACATGGGGGTGGGGGGGGGAGGATGTGGGGGGGGAGGGGGGGGGGGGGGAGTGCGTTAGGAACGGCGTTCTTGATGCCCAGATGCGACACAGCGTCCGCAACCGCTTGTGCAGCTGGGGAAGCAGGGAGAGAGCGACAAACGCACATGGGGGGTGGGGGGTGAGGGGGGGGAGTGCGTTAGGAACGGCGTTCGTGATGCCCGATGTGAAACAGCGTCCACAAACTGCTTGTGCAGCTGGGGAGGGGATGATGAGAGCACAGGGAGAGAGGGAGGGAGGGAGGGAGGGAGGGAGGGAGGGAGAGAGGGAGGGAGAGAGAGAGGGAGGGAGGGAGGGAGGGAGGGAGGGAGGGAGGGAGGGAGGGAGGGAGGGAGGGAGGGAGGGAGGGAGGGGGGAGGGAGAGAGGGGGGAGGGAGGGAGGGAGGGAGGGAGGGAGGGAGGGAGGGAGGGAGGGAGGGAGGGAGGGAGGGAGGGAGGGAGGGAGGGAAGGAGGGGGGGGGGGAGGGAGGGAGGGAGAGAGGGGGGGAGGGAGGAAGGACGGGACCAGACGAGGCCAGGGGGCTTCAGAGTGAGCGAGAGGTGAGGTGACGGGGGGGGGGGGAGGGAGGAATATTTACTCTACCTGGTTAACTTCAAACATACCTGTGGGGTCCAGACGAGGCGAGGGCGCTTAAGAGTGCGTGGCTGCCCGTCGCTGCTATTGCCCTCTTGATTACCTGTCACGTGGATGCATCATACATGGACGGGCGCGTATGGGTTCTTGACACGTGTCAGAATAAATGGCAGCGTGTCAATTACATGGGTTCAGATGGGTGCAGAAGGAAGCAGATAGGTGTGGATGGATGCAGATGCTGCATCGTGAATTCGAATTGGTGCACAAAAGAGAGCGATAGCACACACACTCAACCGAACCTCCACCCGTTATCCGTCCCACACCCACCTGAATCTTCGTCTGGCTCAGGTGACGACTCCTTCCCTTTCCGCGCCCTCTTCCCCCCACCCTCCTGCTGCTCCTCCTGCTGCCGCTGCTCCTGCATCCTCTCCTTCGCATTGCCACTCCTTAGGCTCCCATTCCTCCCCTCCCCCTCGTCCATACTCAACCCCTTCCCGTTCCCAACGCTATCGCTCACACCTCCCCTGCTCATCCCCCCCCCTCCGTCCCTCTGGCTTCCCCCCCCTCCTTCCCTCTGATGCTGCCGCCGCCTTTCCACCTCTCTTGACCTCTCTCCACCCCTCTCTCGCTGCCAATCCCTCTCCCTCCTCTCGTCGTCTTCCTCCTCGCTTCCTCTCTCTCGTTCCCTTTGGCTTTCCCTCTTCCTCTCTCGCTCCCACCCCCTCTCTCTCCCCCTCTCTCTCACTCCCTCACTCTCCTCCCGACGACCCTGACCTCCATCTCCCGAAAATTCAGGCCCATTTTCCGACACGCGCCTTACAGGAGCTGTCAAATTTCTAGGGTTATTTCCCCCATTTCGCCCCTTTTGCGCATTATCCGTCCCATCACCAGGGCGCCTCAACCCTTCCCCCAAAGACCCTCTTCCAGCACCACCCGAGCCTCCATCCGAGCCTGCTTCCGAGCCACCCCCATCATGTCTCCACCCTCCGAACCTGGCGTCCACGTCAGCAGTAGCGCCTCGTAGTCCGCCTGTGCCAAATCGGGCGTTCGAACGGTCGGGATCATTGGGTACGGACTGATGCGGACTAGCATTGGTATTGCCGAGCCGGCCGTCGTTGTATGGCAACCGCGCTTGAGACCTATCCTGCCCATCCTCGTTAGAAAGCTTGCGATCAGCTTCGTTATAGAACCTCCGTCCGTCAAAATCCGCGCGCCTGGGCTCCCCGTCGCGGGGGGCCCCCTGATAGCCGGGGAACAGCGCAGCGGCCGCCCGCTTGTCCCCCTCCCCACGCATCGCTTCCGCTCCAGCTGACGCGGAAAATTGCTCGCGCTGCTCCTGCTGCCGCTGCTGCCTCTCCTGCTGCTGCCGCTCTCTTTCAGACTCTTGCCTCTGGTAACCCTGCTCCCGTTCCTGATCCCTCTGCTGCTCCCTCTGCTGCTGCTGCCTCCCATGCAAGTGCTCGCGTTGCTGCTCTTGCCTCTCCTGCTCTGCACGCGACACTGGCGCGCGGTCCCCTGGAGGCGCGCGGTGGAGCGCAGGTGCGCGGTCCCCTTGAGACGCGCGGTCATCGTCAACGAAACGGTCAGCGGGGTCAAAATGATCCTGCCGGCTCCGCTCATCCCGCCCGCGTTCCGGGTGCTCCTGGTCGTGCGACGGTCGCGAAGGAACGTTTGCGAAAGGAGACGCGTCTGCAGGAGGAGGGTGATTGGACGGAGCGGCGGCGCGGGAGGCTCCAGTGTGAAGAGACTGAAACTGAGGGTGATTCAAGCTGGGAGGAACGATTTCGGGTCGTGTCGTTAATCTCGGGTGTTGCAATATGTTGTTCAACGTGGCCTGGATTAAAAACAAACAAACAAACAAACAGCAACAACATCTGAAGAAAATGCAAGCGTCCATGGAACAAAAGGCGAGCGAGGACCCCGAAAATAAAAAATACTTGGTCTGAATGTACGACAAATAGCGGTACCTAGTCTTAATATACGACGAATCTCTGAACTAGGAAATCGTTGTCAGAAACCTATTAACACCATTTTCGCGAGAATTGAGAACTTCCAGCGAAAAATAACGGCAGAGCAAAGAAATCGAGGTTAAGGGAGAAAAAAAAACTCTTTGAGTCGACTTACTAGAACTCTTTAAGGTTAAGAAATATTGACCTGAGCAGCACGTTCAACATCTTGTTCCGTAACGTTGTACATTGACTCCTTAATACTGAACGCCGCGGCGAGCATAGGAGTAATAAGGCGTTGATTAAGAGGAACTAGCTCTTCCTTGGTCGGCAACGTGGCTTCCCAATCGACACGGTTTCGCCATGCGTCGTTCCTCGTGGAGAGCCCGAGGGATAGTCCATCACCGTCGTCATTCCGAGCCGTCATGCTTGATTCTCAAACAGCCAGTATAAAAAACAACAATTACGTTGTCAACTATAAGCCTCGAAGAGAGTCTAACACTCCACGTGAAACCTCCACACACTATCGCCTGCTCACCACAGATATGGTTCAGAAGTCAAGACTGAGTGATTCAAGAAGGGAGGAGGGCAGGCGAGTTTGGTTGGTGGTGGAATGGGAGCAGATGAGCCCACCCACAGATTTTTCCCAGCCATAGATTTTCCAGATCCCAGCATTCCGTCTGAGTCTGAGACCTGTAAAAAATGGAGATTCTCTTTGTGGGGCTGAGCAGGAGACCTCGTGAAAAGGTACAGCGTTTCGGGCAGGATTGGCTTCTTGAACGGGCAGCACTGTGCTGGGTCTCCTTGGGAATCTTTGCGGGAGGGCTGGATGTAGACGCCCACGAATCATGAAAGAGGAGAGATGATCCCTTGGCTGATTCTGTCTGGGTTTTGCCTTGCTTCGAAGGTTGCCTGCTGGTCACCGCCTCACCACCAACCAACTTAACGGAATGCTGTCAGGTTCGAGGATAAGGCGTGGCGTTGTTTGCCCACGATTGGCTGAACGTCCCACGAAATTCTAGTTGTTTGCCGGCTAGCGGGGTATTCTCGTCCCTCCTAGGATTCGAGTCATTGATCTTGTCGAGCCAGCGCAAGGGTTTGTCATTCAACAAGCAGGCGTGCAAGCGAATCAATCCACCGCAATCAGGTGCCTACACTGTGCAGTGAACAACTCTCTGCTGGTCATTCCCGCTGCCCGCAGTGCAAAAATGGAAAGAAACGTCGCCTCTGGCACAGGGCTGACGAATAAGGGCATTTGCCCTTAATGCCCTGAACATTCCGGGTGAATTTCAGAGCAGCTCGACCATTTGAAGTTCTTGATTCGCATGGAGCCCGTGACGGTTAAGGGCTCCATTTGGGTCTTCCCCTGAATTGAAGTACTGATTTTGATTTGAAGGACCCCCACCCCCTGCCCCCCGCACCGAACCCCCTCATCGTATTCACGAGAAAGTGTCAGGTGTGGCGTGGGAGTAGTGGCGAATGGACACACCTTCCCTTAGCAGACAAGTGTGCGCTCGATTAACTTAGGCCTAACACCTGAACTTAGTATTTTTCCAGTAACCTCAAGTACACTCCATTCCAGAGCCCGGATTTCAAGTGCTGGCTTTGGCCTACGCACGTGAAAATACGGGCAAGATTTGGGGCAGCTGAGGGTTCCAAGTTCTGGCCCCAAACACTTCGACAGGCCTGCTCTGGCAAGCTTCAGCTGCCAGCAGCGTCTCCAGCAAAATGGATGGATCCTCTCAGATTGCCAGCCACAAACTGTATCCAGCACACCTTGGAGATCTGGCATGTGTGGGTTAGTGCGGCCCCAGTCTCAAATACAACTCCGTTTGAGAGTGCATCAGTATTCCCCTACATACATACGGTATTTCATCATTTTTTATGAAGGTTGTTCGATCATGAGGCCACTCACGCTATTTTCAGTTTATTTAAGCACAATTAATGTACTCTTTAATTATTCTCAATCTTTTTATCCATCTAATTTTTTTTTTTATTCAACGCTTGTTATGTTGTAAGATCATTAACAGAGAATATGCGTTACAGAGCTGTCTCACCAATATCTCTTCTCGAATCGGCTTTGTCAGGAATCTGATTCCTCGTGGGAGAGTACAGGTGGATTGGTGGAACCAACCGATCTACCAGTGCCTGGAGCCAACTCTTGGGGCCGACAGCCAGAGAGCGGGAAATTTTGAAACATTTCGCAATCGAATATTTTCCCCGGATGCCCAGCAGAACAGCAGACACATTTCGCGCGTTATAACGGCTTGTGCACCCCATGGACCATCAGACAAGCGCGAAAAGCCACCCTGTCATATCTAGGTTCCCTTGGGGGAAAATGCGTTTTTGCTCTCTATTCCTCCCAAAACTCTGCCGTGATATCCGCCGGGCAGGTGCGCAACGTCTTGAACTGCACAAACTCTTGGCGGGAAGGTTGTTTTGTAGCGCCCTTTTTGAATCCCCTTGGGAACTCAAAATCCGGTCAGGTTATAACATCATCATCATCCCTCCCACTTCAATCTCCAGCACAGCAAAAGCCGACCAGAGCCTGTCAGCTCGTTCACCAACCCCTTTTTTTTTTTTCCAAAACCATCAGATTCAGAACAGCCCTGCTTGAGCTTAGATCTACTAACTCAGCATCCATACGCACTTCTCATCAGTCTCTTAGAAAGTTCATTGGAGCTCGCTCACTTCCGCCTTGAGTTTGTTTCTACCAGTTCTAACTCGCTTCCGTCTGGAGTTTGTTTCTACCAGTTCGCAAGTCAGTTCCTGTTCAACATTCAAAACCTAGTTCCCTTATTGGACTCTATTCACTCCTGATGGCGAGCGTGGTTCGCTTTCCGTCGCCGCCGCCTCCTCTTCGTAGGCAGAACTCTATTGAATGGGGAGGGAAACCCAAGCCTAACCAAAGCAGGGTGCAGCCTAGCCCACTCAGAGCTCCTCAGCCGTCGCCTCAACGGTACCGTTCGCCGGTGAAAGCACAAGCCTCGTATTCCAGGGGACGACCAGAGCGACGTATTGCAACAGATTGCTTCCAGATTTTAGGCGTCTCTCAGAGGGCTGAGAAGGACGAAGTTCGACAGGCATACAGACGGCTCGCACGAACAGTAAGTGCATCTTTCTTCTTTTCAGTATTTCCCGTATGTCATAGCTCTGTTTTGTGTATATGTCACAGCTCTTTCTGTTTGAAGTGTGTCCGCTTATTCTGATGGTGCTGCTTTTGCGTTCTGTCTGCAGTTCCATCCTGACCAAAATCGTTCATCCGGAGCCTCGTCAAAATTCATGGAAATTCACAACGCTTATCAGGTACGCTCGTTCTCCAGTCCGTAATCTCATCGCGTATCATTTAAACGTCATCCCGGCCTCCGAGTCTTTAATCGCTGACAAAAAAGTTGGGTATTTTTTTCCTTTTTTTTCTCTCTCTCTCTCTTTCTTGCAGACGGCGCTGTCGCAGCTTGATACCATACCTGACAGGCCTCGATCCCCTCCGCGAACGACTAACAGATTCGCCGCGAGTCCCGAAAGGAGGAGACCATCTCAACGAGATGAGTGGGACGAGATTTGGGATGACATCATGGCAGGCCCAACTCGCACCGACACACACAGATGAGAATTCTTCAAATAAGCTACAAACGAGACATGGCTTGGCGGGCCATGTCCAGCGCGGTACATACCAATTCGTTCGCCGCGGATTTAGGAGTAGGAGTGGGTCATTTTTCAGGACCTGAAGGGTTAGGACCAGAAGGCTTCAATTCCTTTCAGTGTGTAGGGTGTGCTTGTGTGCTTGCAGGGCCTGTGGGCTGGTATGAACACTACCTCGTGGACCTTCAGCTCAAAGGACCCATGCTTAGTGTAGTGTTCACTCCGTCTGGAAGACGAGTCTTAATGAAGTGTGGCTTTATTGCTCGAACTTGCTAATTACCCACTTGCTAGTTTTGATTACCACAATTCCACCCTTCCTGGCGACCTAGTTAGCTGTCAGACTCAAATGTTGCACTTGTAATTATTGGGGGAAGGGTTTGGCTGGGAAAAGGTCAAGATTTAGGTTCATCAGTGTCCTAACCTGATGCCTCAACCCTCTGCAAGCAAGGCAAGACCGTATGCAATCCTTGGCAGTTGATGACAAAGGCTGAAACAAATATGAAGCTGAAGTGAAGATAAAACATCATGTTTTATATAGATGGAAACAAATGTGAAAGAAATGTATGGAAACCATTGGTCACTTTATATGAGCCTGGGAACAAGTGCATCTAGAGCTTTGCCTTGCCACCATATTTCGTCATAAAATCAGAGTGAAATTTCTGGAAGTTGCGCATGATTTGAGGCATCTTGGCCTCGGGTGGCAGAATAGTTGTGCGGAGGTGGAAGGTGCTGCGGCATGACAATAACGAGGGGAGGCATAGGGGGGTGGAGAAGATGAGGTGGCATTTCTTGACATCACACTCAAGACCTGGCATCAGCATGAGCAGCAGATCGCAAACCTCAACCCACATGCCCTTTCCTTGCACCCCTTGCGCCCAATCTTCCCATCAACTCACCCTCCCCCCTGCCCTAAGCCTGATTCCGGGACAGTAGAGATCCCAGTGGCCTCCACGAGCCGCAAACATGTCCATGGCCTCTCTGCTGGCTGGACCCATCCACACAGGCATTATCAACCCCTCCTCTCTCTCCCTGTATCTCACCTATCTTTCTGTCCGAAGCATGAGCCAGGCACGGTGGAATTGGAATCACTTTTGAGAATTCTCAAAAGTGATTTCATGAGCCGGGCGCGGTGGAGATCCCAGATGCATCTACCAGCCGCAGGCAGTAAAACACGTCGTCAGGGGCGGTCCATCATCATCAGCCAGAACCCACCCACATACCCTCTCACCCCTCCTCACCCATCAACCCCTCCAATAGACTCACCCCTCATTCTGCCCAAAGTCAAGCCGAGCACAGTTGAAATCCCGGTCGCCTTTACGAGCCGCAGGCAGTAAAACACTTCCGGGGCCTTCCCTGCTGGTTTGTCTCATCTTACCCTCTCAATCACCCACTGAGCCCGAAAACACTGGGAGTATCACTCCCTGTAACTCACCCGTCCTTCTGCCCGAAGCCCGAGCCGGGCACGGTTGAAATCCCCGTGGCCTCTACGAGCCGCAGGCAGTAAAACACGTCCGGGGCCTTTCCTTCCGCCTTGGCAGCAGCAATGGCGGCCGGGGGGAGGTGGATGCGGGGAAACGAGTACATGGCACCTGTAGGAGGGCGAGGGGACAGAGGAAGATTGGCGAAGGGAAGGGGATGGGTATGGGGGAAGGGAGGTGGCGAGGGGAGGATCGAAGGGTTGAAAAATCTCTGAATTCTAACAAACAGGATGCATGGACAAGGATCCACTTGCATCAGAGGATTTTCATTCTGAGAGTTCTCAAAACTAGATAATCTATTGGGGCT